GTTTAGAGTTTGGGGTTTAGGGTGTTTAGTTTTTACCCCGAGGGTTTTGGGTTAAGGGATCAGGGAGTTTGGGGTTTGGTTTAGGGATTAGGGTTTAGAGTTTGGGGGTTTAGGGATTAGTTTTTACCCTGAGGTTTAGGGTTTAGGGATTAGGGTTTAGAGTTTGGGGTTTAGCGGTTTAGGGCTTAGAATGGACTGCCGCCGCACATCACTGACATTACACCCCCCAGGAGCCTCGGCATTATAAGAGCTTCTATAGGATCGCAGAAGCACTTCAACCCTTTGTATAGGGTTTAGGGTTTAGGGTTTAGGGTTGGGGTTTAGGATTTCGGATTTAGGGGTTTAGGGGTTTGGGGTTTAGGACTGGGCTTAGGATTTCGGATTTAGGGGTTTAGGGGTTTGGGGTTTAGGACTTCGGGCTCAGGATCTATAGGGTTAAACTTAAACCCATGCCCAACTAATCCTTTACGGAATTTAGTTTTCCCAGCTGCGTCTACGTACCCTGTGGACCAAGCCGTCTGTTCCCTGTTGATGCCCAACAGTCCCCCACCCTAAAATGCCTAAAACCCCTAAGCCCCGAAACTCTAAACTCTAAACCCTAAACACAAAACCCAAAACGCCAGATGCAAACAGTCCCAGGCCTCAAGCGACTAAACGAAAACAGCTCGAAAACTTCAGAACTCCACAAACGGCCTCAGGTCGTATCCAAAGGATTTAAACATTAAGCGGAATTTATAACGTCTTCGAAAAAGTCTCGGGCTTGGGTCTCTTACGGCTTAGGGGTGAAGCGGGCTGAGGCGTCGAAGGGCTCTTGTGGCTCTTGGGCTTCAGGGTTTGGGGTCTAAGGGTATAGCGTTTAGGGTTTAGGGTACAGGGTTTTAGGGCCCCTCTAACCCCTAACGCCGACAGTAATTGCGCCAAACCTCCAGTGCTAAACCCCACACCCCAGATGCTAAACCCCAAGTCCTAAACATCTAGACCGATTAGGGTTTAGGGTTTGGGGTTTAGTGCCGAGGTGCCTGGTATACTGGGGGGCTTACCGTTGGGAGCTGGTAGGGATTATAGTGCCCCAGATTGAAAAGGTTAAAGGTTACCCACCCAAAACCCTAAACCCTAAATCCCTTATACCCTGAACCGAAAGCCCTAAACCCTAAATCCTAAACCCAAAAGCCCTAAACAGCCCTAAAAAGAATCACCCCAAACAGCTAAACCTTAAGGGGCTACCTACTTTACTCCTACGGGTCTCTTCTTGTTGCCGGGTCCCACCTTGCCAGAGGGCTGGTTGTTGCCTCAGTGGATGCCGGTTTAGGGATTAGTTGTTAGGGTTTAGGATTTAGGGTTTAGGGTTAGTTCAACGTTGGGGTAGTATTAAAACCCCTTTAATTAATTTCTATTCCTGCTTGAGTTTAAGTACCTACAAAATGTAAAATGATACTCAGCTATGACAGAGACTAGGGTTTATGTGGATGGGTATTGAATTTCGGATATGGGGTTTAGGGTCTTTTACTTTGGGCACAGGGTCCTGGATTCAAAGTTTTGGGCTTAGGATTCGGAGTGTAGGTGCTTTCCCTTGGCTGTGAGTCGCGCAGTGTTCTTGTTTGGTTCTCTCCACAACTTTATGTAGGGGCCTTAATCCTTAGAATTGGGTTTTGCAACCCATCATACTATAAGTATTACAAGGAATCCCAAGAATAGTATAGGTAATTGTTAAGGCCCCTATATTACCTTAAGCTTGCGTTGGATTTTGGGGTTAAGGGACGGGAGCCCAGTAAGATGTTGAGTCTGCCACGAGGATCCAGCCAGACATGGCAACCGGTTCTCCTGAACTGCTCGGCTTTCAACGGTAGGGTTTAGTGTTTAGGGTTTAGGTCTAGCCGCCTGGCCTTTTGATTTTGGACCCTGCAAGGGTAAAGGTACCCCCCACAGGTACGATTGAACAGACACGACACCATCCAGAAGCCCGCGCTCATGCATCTCGATCGCGACGACATACAGAAATCGCCGCTTGTCCTTGTCTTCCTGCTTCCTGGGTTCTTGTAAGGGAATGTAACTTCTGCTACCATAGACGGCGTACATGGTGGTTGTTAGGGTTGTCATAAGTCTTATATAGGCCCTTACTTAAGGACTTCAACTAGTTCATGAGAGTTTGAAAGAAGCTTCTCTTGCTTGTCCAGTATCCTAGAAAAACTATAGGGGTTTGCGTTGGGATTATCTAGGGAATACTACACCAGAGCAGAGCTTCATGTTCCTGCTTCGATTCGGATCCAGCACTGCCTCCAGCTTGGTGTCGCCCCAACGGCTGTTCCTTAGTTGCTGAGTTCATAACCCCCCCCCAAAAAAAAAATGTAAACTTACAGCTCCAAAAAGTGTATACTTTCACCTGTTTATGGCTGCTACTAGTATCCCCAAAAGTGCATACTTTCCTCTATTTCGAGGGTACCATTATCCCCCCCCCCCAACCAAAAAAAACACGGTCTAGCCAGTCAGATGCAAAGGCTCACCGCCTCCAAAGTCACCTTGAGAAAGCCATCTGGCGAGGGGTACTTCACCTCCTTGATAAACTTCCGCGTCTGGGCTTTGAAGTAACCAGGGAGAAAAAGTATATACTTTTATTTCATAATGGTTCCTTTAAGGAACAGGTCCCAAAAAATGTATTAAAGTATGGTACTCCAAAGCCCAGAGACCTGTCGCGGGTAGTCACATATCACCTCGGCTGCGCTTCTTTCAGGGCCCATGGTACCTTAGGGTGTTGGGTTTAGGGCTTTGGAAATGATGGACTCACAACCATGCAAGCCCCTATCTGAAGGCCTACTCACGGCCCGTTTGCTTTGCACAGCGCAAGTTGTAAACCAAACAGACTGCTAAGACAGCGTCAAGCCGCCTTCTCATCGTAGGTGAACAGATCTTCTGGATTTAACGACTGGCCCATCGTCTTGGCACAATACTCATACCTGTCAGTGGAGCATGGCGCACGGTGTGACCTTGTAGAGGTATGTGACAAGCTGCAGTAAGGTTTGTGGTTAGAGGGTTTAAGCCCAAAGGCTTCGAACAGGTGGTGCGGTATCCTTTCGACCTATACTGTATATGCATGGATCGGTTCCTGCAGAATTTACTCCTTGGGGTTCTCGTGTTCGGTAAAAATCTCCTGCTGGATAACAGCCATCTCGAAGCCAGGAAGTCTCCTGGTTCAGCCTCAACCCACGTGCGCATGGTTGTGTGAACTAGCTCGTTCCGCCTCTTACGCAAAGCCTGACTGCGGGGCTGGTTGGGGGCAGGTGGGGTAGGTGGGGCAGGCGGGGTAGTATTGGCGGGCGGGGTAGGTGGGGCAGGCGGGGTAGGTGGGTAGGTGGGGTAGTGGGGGTAGGCGGGGTAGGTGGGGCGGGTAGGAAAGCGTTACGTTTAAGACAAAAGGTTGCATCCAAGATAAAAAAAGTTACAACTTAGCTTGCTACCACCCTAACAGTGCGATAAGCTTCCCGAACCCAAACCCCAAACACTGAACCGTAATTCTCAAAGCCTGAATCCCAAACCCCAACCGTCAGAAATCGCTGAGATTTAGAAGAGTGTTCGATCGAGCTCTGCGACTTCTGTAGGTCACCCTGAACCCATTAAAAACCCATTATGGGTTCGAGGTTGATTTCTCTCGGGCCCGCTGTCTCGGTTTAGGGTTTAGGAGTTTAGGAGTTTAGGGTTTAGGGTCTAGGGTTTAGGGTTTAGGGTTTATTGTAATAGGGTTGTGGGGTATACCGCACTTGTATATACACTCTTATTACAATATTAAGAATCTATTGGTAATGATTTAGGCCCTAAGCCCTAAACCCCTGCAGTACGTAGAGCTCGGAATTCGGCGCTCAGGCCGTCAGCCAGGTTGCACCATTTGCAGGCAATTGTAGAGATTCACCTTCCAGCAAGTCCAAACAGGGTTTAGGGCTTTAGGGTTTTAGGGTTTAGGGTTTAGGGTTTAGGGCTTGGGGTGCAGGGTTTAGCGTGCAACCCGTGATGTGGGAACCTGTACAACTAAGAGGTACTTCAAAGGAACCCTCTTAAGGGCTAAACCCTAAACCCTAAATCCTAAACCTTTTATAAACCCTAATCTTAAAGGGATCTACTTTCTACATCGTCGGGTCTGAATGCCTAGAGAGGAAGCCCTGAGCCGAAAACGGCCTAAACCCTGAACCTTCAACCTTAAATCATAAACCTTTAGGTAGTATTATTAGGGGTACCCCTTAAAGGGTACCCCTTCTGAACCCTAATTACTTTTGGCTCTCTAAAAAGGGACCTTATTGAGAGGGTCTATATCCCCAAGGGTCCCCCTAATCCTAGCTCCCAACCTTTAGGATCCCGATAGGGCGTTCCGAAACCTTGGTGGGGCCTAAGAGGATGCGCCACCGTAGGTTATTAAGGATTAGGGATTAGGACTTTGGAGGTGGGTCGCTGGGGGAGGGACTTGCTACTAAAATTCCACATCCCAAACCCTAAACCCTGTATATAACCCCGAAAGACATGCATAGACCACGTGAACATAGATGCCACACAACTATAACCTCTCGACCCGAAACCGACACCACCCCATGAAAGTCAGGGGTCCACACGCTGCTTCTCCCTTTTCGGAAAAAAACGTCTGCTACACGTCTCACAGCTGATCCTGTACCGCGCTGCTGTCGCCACCCCAGCACGCATTGCCCCAGGTGACAACAGATCCATCAATCAGGATTGCGGCAAATGCACCAAAAGAAGCCTGGATCCGCTGCACGTTCTTCAGCTTCTCCTGCACAGCACTGCTGTCACCACCGTAGTCGGATTCACCCCAGGTGACCACAGATCCATCACCCAGGATTGCGGCAAAGGCACCAGTAGAAGCTTGGATCTGCTGCACATCTCGCAGCTCATGCTGTACAGCACTGCTGTCGCCCCCCCGGCGAGCACTACCCCAGGTGACCACAGATCCATCACGCAGGATTGCAGCAAATGCGCAATTCGCAGCCTGGATCTGCTGCACATCTCGCAGCTGATCCTGTACCGCACTGCTGTCGCCACCCCGGCGAGCGTTACCCCAGGTGACCACAGATCCATCACGCAGGATTGCAGCAAATGCTGAGTGAGAAGCTTGGATCTGCTGCACATCTCGTAGCCGCGTCTGTATGACACTGCTGTCGCCACCATGGGCGGCCCTGCCCCAAGTGACCACGGACCCAGTACCAAGGATTGCAGCAAATGCATCGAATGAAGCTTGGATCCGCTGAACATCTCGCAGCTGATCCTGTACAGAACCGCTGTCGCCACCGCAGTCGACATCGCCCCAAGTGACCACAGATCCATCACCCAGGATTGCAGCAAAGGCACCAGTAGAAGCTTGGATCCGCTGCACATCTCGCAACTGCTCCTGTACCGCACTGCTGTCGCCGCCAAGTTCCGCATCGCCCCAGGTGACCGCAGATCCATCAGACAGGATTGCAGCAAAAGCATTTGCAGAAGCATGGATCTGCTGCACATCTCGCAGCTGATCCTGTACCGCACTGCTGTCGCCACCACATGCGGCATCACACCAGGTGACCACAGATCCATCACCAAGGATTGCGGCAAATGCGCAATTCGCAGCCTGGATCTGCTGAACATCTCGCAGCTGATCCTGTACCGCACTGCTGTCGCCACCCTGGCGAGCACTACCCCAGGTGACCACAGATCCATCACGCAGGATTGCAGCAAATGCCGAGTGAGAAGCTTGGATCTGCTGCACATCTCGCAGCTGCTCCCGTACAACGCTGCTGCTGCCACTGTGGCCGGCCCAACCCCAGGTGACTACAGATCCATCACCCAAGAGAGCGGCGAATGCAGAGAAATTGCCGCCTTGCCTGGTAGTTTTAAGCTGGACCTGGTTCACATGTAGAGTGAGCATGTCTCCACTCATCAACTGCGCTTCTGTGAGAGTTTGTGCTCCGTCAAGCACCTCTCCAGAAGGATTCAGCAGGCGCCCCCTGCTCGGGACCGCCAAGACACTCTGGGCCCGATGCATCAGTGACTCAACGGATGCATCCGCCTCCACTTCTATAGAAGCCCGCTTGCCACTCAGCAAATGCACGTCCACAGAAATCGCCATGGTGCTTCGTAGGGAATCAGCCTACAGCTCGACCATGCAATAGAAGGGCCTTGACAATTAGAATAGGATTTTGCGGGGCATTTCATAGTATACGTGTACTGAGGAACCCTCAGGAATAACTTAAACCCTAGACCCTAGACCCTAAACCCCTAAACCGTAAACCCTACCTTATGAACGAGGCAGGCCCATCTGTTGTGTGTACTTCACACAATCCAAAGCCTGGGCCCTGAACCCTACTGCCTGTGGCCACCCTCGACCCTAGACCCCCAAACCCAACACCTTTCGCCCTAAGTTTTTAAGAACTTCCAGAGACTATGTTGGCAATAAGCTGCTATGCTATCTATATATATATATATATTTTTTTTGTATGTGTGTGTGTATATATATATATATATTGTACAGGGCTTGGCCCTGACGGCCCTCACGGACACAAGCAGGAGCATTTGACAGGCAACTGGGCTTCAGTCTTCGGGGATGGTTTAGGGTTTAGCGTTTAGGGATAAGGTTTTCCCTCAACCCTCAAACCGCTTGAGGTCCTAATCCTAGCTTTGGCTTCGGTGCATTTCAAACACCCCTAAACCACGAGGGGCCCGCTAAAGTTACCGCATTTAAGAGTGTAATATAGGGTGCCTCGATAATTAGAAGAGGGTTTTGGGGTTTAGGGTTTAGGGTTTCGGTATTAGGGGGTATATAAGACTACAACTATTACAAGGAACCCCCCCCCCCAAAAAAAAA